TATCTCACATTGATAGAAAACTTTCATCTTAATGGTTTTAAGGCCTTATATATTTCAGTGGATATACTACAGTTTACTGGACCACTTCCCTAGAGGAGGAGTTTTAGACAAGTTTTAGCTTTCCATGATAGCTCTGCCTTGAACAACAAAAGCATTTTCCCCCTTTCAAAAAGTATCTTATTTTTAGTAGGTGAGGGTGTGGCTCAAGTGGTAGAGTACCTGTCTGGCAAGTACAAGTCCCTGAATTCAGACCCCAATACCATCAAAAAATTGATTTTTGATGGACAAATAAGAATTATATGTATATATGAAGTAAATATGAGCTTTGATATATACACTTTGTAGATGGGTTAGGGCCAGCTAATTATATAGCTGTATTTATCATTATTTTATCATGAGAACTTTTTAAGTCTCTTTTGGAAATTCTAAAGTATACAGCAGGGTGTTATTAATAATGAACTGTATAAGACATCTAAAAACTTTATTCCTCCTGTCCAAATGAAACTTTGTACTCTTCCACTCATCTTTCCCCATATCCCAGTCCACACCCTTTGGAATTATTTCCTAGTTCTAAGGTGAATGAGCCAAAGGTTATAGATAGCTGTACTGTTCAGTCTACTTACAGAGCTTCAAATAATTTCCCTAAAGTAGTATTTATATTGATTTCACTACATTTTTTTAAATGCTGACATTTATTAAATGATAATTTGTAATTGTTTACATTTCAATACTGTGTGTGTGAGAGAGGGAAAGAGAGAGAGGAGAGAGAGAGTAATGGAACTTGAACTCAGGCCTGGGCACTGTCCCTTAGCATTTTTGCTCAAGGCTGAGGCTCTACTACTTAAGCTACAGCTCCACTCTGGCTTTCTGGTGGTTAATTGAAGGTGAGTCTCACAAAGTTTTCCTGCCTGGGCTGGCTTTGAACCTCAGTCCTCAGATCTCAGCCTCCTGACTAGCTAGGATTACAGGAATGAGCTACTAGTAATTTTCTTATTTTCAGTACTTAAAAAAGTGATACTAATCCTATCAAAGGGGAGAACTCAGCAGTCACAGCAAAAATAAAAATAAAAAAGGGAGGCAGGGGATAAAAGAGAAGATGGAGATTAATTCAAAAATCACAAGTGACTCTCAGGAAAGTTAGAGAAGAGTCAGAGGGCATTGGCTCAGCAGTTCCCTGACTCCATTCCCTTGTACCGCAAAACCTTAAAGGAAACAAGAGTTCGCCAGTGAATTCTTTCCATTAAATTTATAGAACTATAAATTTATAGAACTGTAGCATTTCCCAGAATTTCAGTTAAGATTTCAAATGTTTCAAAAATATACTCCCATGCTGAAGACTTTGATAGGTAATGAGAAAGCAGATGAAAGTTCAATGAGGCAAAAATTAAATTGTAGAAAATACATATAAAATAACTTTGGAGTATGTCAAAGAAATCAAATGGCAAAATGAATTGTGAGGTTGTTTCTACAAATAATTAGCTCCCCCCCAACATCCCAAACATCATATGATCAATTGTGTCCAGGCCACTCTGACTTGCACATTTTTCTCTCTGGAAAGATGTACAAATGAAGTGTCTTTTGGTTTATTTTAATGACATTAAAAATAAGTCAAAGCATGAAAATGGGAGATTCCAAGTCCTTGTTCTCACAGCAACTGCACAAATCACATGTGAATGACCCAGGCCACTTCTTAGACTAGCACCTGTTTCTTGCTACACTCTAAATTTCCAGGGAAACACAGGTAAACAAGTTAACAAAACTCCAGCTAAACTTCATACAATTGAAGATAATGTGCTATAGTTGCCTAGGTAATAATAACCTTACATTTCCCATGGGAAACTGGCTGGTAGCTTTATGCTATTCATAGCGTGCAGTGCAGCAACAGAGTGGAAACAACCCACTCTTCTCTAAAGATATGTTTGAAAGTGTATGCTCTGGGATGCAATGTGAATAACGTTTCTGTGTACGGTGCTATTATTAGATTTGTACAAAGAGGTGAATCTCCAGATCTCCAGGCAGAAAAATAAAATATGGAACTAGAGAATATCTCCTCCAAAAGGAGCCCTGGAAAAGTAGACAATACTAAGAAGATGAAAAGATTCTGACTTCAGTCTTAAGTGAGGATCAGAAGGTTCTGGTCACTGAGATTAAAAAAAAAAAAATCTTGGCTTTTGCCAAGAGAAGCAGTCTACAATTAGGATATGAAAATGGAAGTTTCATGAGAATAGAGATATAATACTGGAGCCTAATGGCTAGTAGTCCTTGGGAAATAAACACCTGCTGAAACATTGAATGAATACACTTCTCAAAGAATCGAGAAGTCTGAATTAACCAAAGATGGGACAATGTATTCTAGACTACAGGACTTGAGTAAGACATCCCTTAAGCCAAATAAGCCAATCTCTGTATTTCTTTTCATCCTGTACCTCTTGTCCACCCATATTCATTGCTACACTATTCACTGTAGCTAAGTTATGGAAATAGTCCAGATGCCCACCAGTGGATAAATACCTCAAGAAATGGTGAAAGTAATATATAATGGAATCATATAGCATATGATATATTATATCATGTATTATATATAATGGAATTTTACTCATGTATTAGGAGGAGCAATATGTCATTTGTAGGGAAATGGATGGACCTGGATAAAATCTATGCTAAGTAAGTCAGGCTCAGAGAGAAAATGGGTGTATTTCTTTTGTCATATGTGGGGGATAGTTATCAGTTGTGAACATATATAAAAGCATATATGGGTCATATGTGTATATTATGTACACAACAAAAATTGACCTAAGTGTAGTAGACACTGGGGAAGATTCCAATGGGTAACTCCTTTGAACATCTAACTTAGAGTTGAATAAAATACCAAGAAACTGAAAAATGTTCTGTCAGAGGGATGAGAGCAAGGGGAGGAAGGACAGACAAATGGAGTCATAATATTCAGTGTACAAATGTGAACCAGGAAATGGAACCAGGAAACCTGCGGTGATAGATGAGGTTGGGAGAGAACCGGGGGAATGATGGGAGGGGTGACATTATCATTGTACTCATAAACTGCTATGTTGGACCTAAACCCCACTGGACAGCTAAAGACAATAGAAGTTAAAATAAATTCGCTTGAGTCCTCATGTGTGAAAGGAGTTTCTGTTCATCCCTTACCGGTGCATCCCCATTTGACTTGCAAAGTTAGAGGACACTGGACCAAAAGGAAGGATATCCATATGTTAAGGCCCTCATTTGACAGTAAAGGAGGAAGTTTCATACTATAAGTAATCCTAAAGTTTTATTTTTTTTAAAAAAATGCGGTTACTTTTTTTTTTTTATAAGAAATCATAGCCAAACCAAAATTTCGAACAGGAAAGTAATGCCATTAGAAGAAAGGAACTAGGCCCATCAGAGAGATTTCCAGGTTCCCATGGCGACATTTGTTTCTAATTATACATCTATAAAAGTCAATACTGCCCTCAAGGGTTTTAAAGGCTTTTGAGATAGGAATTAAGCCATATTCATTTTGTTCTTCCCATTTGTGATATCCAAAAGCATGTTTTTCTACTTGTTAGGGAAACTGAATGTGCAGGAGAAACAATTCCAATTTTTTTTTTTGAGATTATATGTGAGAGATTCTGTGTGTATAAGAAATAGGCTAGGTGTCCATTTCACACTGGGATAGATTGTGTGTGCAAATGACTACCTGTATGTGATGTCATGTGTGTGTGTACAAGAGAAGCAGTGTGCTTGAGAGGCTTGTGGGGAAAACGACAAGTGTCATCTGACTACCAAGAAACAGGAAGCATATCGTTAAAGACATCCTGTGAGTTCCTGCCTCATTTAATTCCTTCCTTCTCTGGGCCTGAAAACATTTTAGTACATCTCGTATCATACTCATGTATCTTTTTGCCTTCCACTGGCAGATAACCCCTATTTTATCAATACACTCATTTTCCCAATGTATAGGTAAGGGATAAAACACAAAAGCTTGCTAATTATTATTTTTTTAATTGGTAAAGTCCTTTAACAAAATGGATAAGAATAGCAAGAAGAAAGGATTACAAGGATTACCAGTCACTGAGACATTTCATCTATAGAAATATACACAAAGGTAGACACATCACTAAATGATCCCAAAGCTACAACAACGGGTACACTCCAACAGATACTCAAGAGAGAAAGAGACACCTCCCTTCAGAGAAATATGAGGCAAGAATTTGGAAGGAATGGGAGAAAAGAGGCAGGAAAATGCGAAGGCTGGACAGCTATGCTGAAGAACAGACCATCCTCAACACACTCAGGCACGCCCCAGCAGCGACCAGAAGGTATAGTGTAGTGTGTGTGTGTGTGTGTGTGTGTGTGTGTGTGTTTCTTTCTGTCTTTCACACACCCCTCACCTGTCCCTCACAAAACATCTCTAACTTACACAGATTCTTTCACACACAACTCTCACACTTTGCTTCTCACACTTTCACTCCGTTGCTCATTCTCGTACCTACTTTTCCTCACAATCCTATCTTGACAAAAGCACACACATTCTTCACACAACGTGTGTAGACACGTGTCTCACAAGTGCACAACTACAGACTCCCATATGCATGTTCTAATATTCTCTCAGACACTCAACACAATCGCGCTCAAGTTCCCAGTCTTTCCTATACTCTCTCCCATAGTGTTTGGCATAATCTTTATTACGTAAACTCTCAGTCCTCAGTCCACAGACAGACAGACAGACAGACAGACAGACAGACAGACAGACAGACAGACAGACAGACAGACAGACAGACACACACACACACACACACACACACACACACACACACACACCCCCCTTATTGGCCCTTATCTTCCGGCCCCGCCCCTTGCCGTCTCCGCCCGGTGGCCCCACCCCTCCGACCACGCCCCCTCACTCCCCACGGCCCCGCCCCTTTCCGAGGCCCCGCCCCAAGTGGCCCCGCCCCGGAGGCGGGGCGAGCGGCTCACAGGAGTGGCCGGGCGGCTCCCGCACTTGGCGCGCCGGGGCCGGCGGGGCGCTGCGCCGGAGGCTCCTGTCAGCCGCGGCGGGCACTGCGCTCCGACTGGGGCGGCTGCCGGGCGTCTCGCGGTGTGGCCCAGCGGGCCGCGGGAGTTGGCGAGGATGTGCTCGGCCGGGGAGCTGCTGCGGGGCGGCGGCGGCGGCGGCGGCGGCGGCGACGAGGACCGCGACGAGGACGGCGAGGCGCCGGCGGAGCGGGCGGCGGCGGCGGGGACGGAGCGGGAGCCCGGGGCGAGCCCGCGGCGGCGCGGGCCGCCGCTGGAGGGCAGCGAGCAGGTGAGCGCGGACCCGGGGGGCGGAGGGAGGCGGCTGGGCCCCGGCGTTCCGGGAAGCCGCTCGAGGAGCGGTTGGACGGCGCGGCCGGCGGGCGGGGCCGCGGGGTCCCGGGGCTGAGCCGTCCCCGACGGGGCGGCCGGGCAGGTGCGCCCGCTGGGAACGCCCTGGCCAACGGCCCCTGCCCCGGAGCCTTCCTCACCTGGAAACGCTTTCCTGTAACTTGTCCCCCACCCTCCCCCCCGCCCTCCGCCCCGCGTTTCCGGGCGCTCACCTGGAGTCCCCGCGCGGCGGGGCGCCCTCGCCTCCCCGGCCGGGCGGGCGGGCGGCGCGCGCGGAGGAGCCCGGCGCCCGGAGCTGCCGGGACGGGGACTCTCCCCCCCCCCACACACAGATGGGATCTAAACGTCATCCGAACCCAGAAGAAGAAGAAAAGAACAACACTGGGGCGTTGGGTTGGTCCCCAGGGGAAAGAGTGCCCGGGGGGCTGCGGGGGGCTGCGTCCGATCTGATTAAATAAAGGGAGTGAACGGACATCAGATGAGGCAGGCAGTTTAAAAGATTGGATTTACCTGGGGGTTCACCCACCAACACACTGATAAGACCTTCCAAACCATCCACGACCCGAGTGAGTCTTTCACATCCACACCAAGGCCCAAGGATCTTATCTCAAGGATCTTTGGGATCATCAGTATTGGTATCCGTTACCCCGTTCCTCTCCACGTTTCCTTTTTGGTCACATTTCTCAAACTCCAGGATCATCACAAAATAGGTTTGGAAACTATAACTTTATCTTGTTTTAACATCTAGTGTACACAAAATATGCCTTAGCAGAGGTGATCGCTCTGAGGATCATAGGAGGAGATGGTAACTGCAGCGAGTAACTGACTGAGAGCTAGGAGATCTTCCCGTTTCCCTTCCTCGGTGGTTTTCCTGGGTTAACTTACCAGCATGACTCAGTAAAGTTGTTTCCTCTTCCTTGCTCAACTGGAAGTGGAGAAAACAGCTGCAAGAACTCCCTTGGGGGTGACAGGTGCATCAGAACTTAAGTTTCCCACGCGAATTTTCAAATAATGGTAAAAGCATATGTAAGATACTTGTATTAGGTTGGCGTGAGTTTCATCGATACCGTAATGTAGATAGACCTTATCAAAAACTCTGGTCTTAACCAAAATTGGTAAGGGTCTAAGTAAAATAGATGCAACAGAAAGCTAGGAAACAGATTCCCTGTCTCCTGCTTCCCTCGTGAAATGTCATTTCGTTTTCCTATACTCCCTTGAAGGTGTTATTTTTATTTTATTTTAAACCTCATGGTTTATCTACTCTGATTTCACATACACAATAATTGAAAATCACACCCTACATCGCATTTCATCTTACATCAGCACCAAGAGGCCAAAAAGAAGCAAAAGTAAATAATTATCCAACCCAATCTACTGATGTTAGAAGCAAGCTTTTGTGATAAATCGTTTCTTGGTAATATCACAAAGCCTTGTTTTACTAGCGATTTTAATGCCTGCAAATGAAGTTTAAGATTTCTATGTACTGCCATGTAATGGTGAGAATAATTTTGTCAATTTAAAGATATTTTGAGGGAAAAATATATTCTAAGGACTCGTTTTAGTTTTTATGAAGTGATGTCTTATTCTCTCTTTTTTTTTTGTTCACTTTGTTTTTGTTGCAGGGACAGTGTGGACTCCAAATTATAAATGGAGTAAGTTGTACAACTTGTAATTGATAGCACTTTTTTGTTTTGAGATAGGGTCTTACATACAATGTATCCCTGTTTGGCCTTGAGATCCTCCTCCCTTAGCCTCATGAGCCCTGGGATTGCTGGCGCGCACTCTTTTGCCTAGCTACAGTGAACTTTTCCATGAAAACAATTACACAGGACCAAAGCTAATTAGCTGCTGTCCTTTCTGCTTACCATGCTCACTCAGAGTTCCAGAGGCTTAGCAGCCTGGTGGATATTAAGAGGAAATTGAAGTCAGCAGCCAGCAGATGCCTTCTTATCTCCTTCAGGGTGAGATGGTGTGTTGTAAAGGCAGCTCACTTGTGTTCCCCAGCTCCCTATCAGATCCTCCGTTTTCTGTTATTGCTCGCCTTTCTGTTTCTGTTTACTTCAGTTCCCTTTTTGACAAGAAGCAAGTTTCTTCTGTGAACTGTTTTCCCAGCGAAAACCTTCTCCATATACAGCCTTTTCTTCATTCATTGTTTTACCTTTCCATTTCTGACTGAAAGATATTCTTTTTCCTCAACTTAGAAGACTTCTGCCAAAGTGTATCCTTTTAACATCTGTCTTTGGCTGATTGTTATTAAAATACTAGATCAAAATGTATTTCATGCAATACTGAAATCTGATATTGATACCAAAGTACTGGTTACCATTTATCCTTACGTCCTTTTTTTTTTTTTTTGTCAGTCATGGGGCTTGAACTCTGGCCTGAGCGCTGTCAGCTCAAGGCTAGTGCTTTACTACATGAGCCACAGCGCCACTTCGGTTTTTCTGGTGGCTTATTAGAAATAAGAGTTTCGTGGCTTTTCCTGCTGGGCTGGCTCTGAACCATGATCCTTAAATCTCAGCCTCCTGAGTAGCTAGGATTAGAGGAGTGAGCCACTGGCACCCGGCTTACTTTTGTAAAAGCTAAGTAACTTTCCTCTATCCTTAGGACTTAAATCTTGGCAGGTAGGATGATTAGCAAAGGAGGTCTGATTAAAACTAAATATCACAACAAAGAAAACCTTAGAGAAAGGTTTAAAGTAGGCACCTAGGAGAAATAAGGAAGGAGGCTATCCAAGGGACCGAAGGGATCGGAAATAGCTATTCACAGATGTGTTGACAATTGTGTGCGTGAGTGATGATCCCAGTGTGTTCTTAACAGTGAGGGTGGCTTTATGGAAACCAGTCTGTGACCTTCTGCGTAGCTAGAAGACTAAACATCTCCACACTTTTATTTTGTATTTGTAATGTCAGTGGCATCTGGCCGAGTGCACAGTTCACAGCCTGAATGACTGAAGATGGCCCTCCTCACCCAAAGCAGGGGCCGGTCCCATGGTGCCTGTGGTGACTTCCCATCGTTAACTCTTGATTTCAGAGTCTGATTTATGAAAGTCATGTGACCTCTAATCCTGGCTACTTAGGAGGCTGAGATCTGAGTATCGTTTTTCAAAGCTAGCCTCAGCATGGAAGTCAGTGAGACTTTCATCTCCAAATAATCACGGAAAAGCCAGAAGTGGAGCTGTGACTGAAGTGGTAAAGCTTTAGCCATGAGCACAAAAGCTCAGGGACAGCGCCTAGGCCCTGAATTCAGGCCCTAAAACCAGCACATACCTATACACATTATGTGTATGTACACATTATGTATGTGCGCACATGCACACGCACACACGCATATCTATCTATATGGTGGCTAATATTTCATTCCCCTAATAGTGCACATTTTAAATCATTTCAATCTTTCTTTCATAAGTAATGCTGTATGAAAAAAAAATCTTTCCTTGTAAATCCTCACAATTCTGCCTTGAAACAAACTCTTAGGCATGGAAGAGCTAGATCAGTGAGACAAACTCCTTGAAGCCTCTAAAAACATCACAAAGAAGTTCATTCACTCAAGAAAGGTTGTTTTTTCCTTCATGCAATTGTTTCTAACACATTTATAAGATTATTTCTTTGTTGCTTTGGATATAACCCCTGCTCTCACTGTATTTGATGTTGGCATAATTTGTGGAGGGGAAGGGCAAAAACAAATCGTTTAAATAGAGATAGAGGTGGACCTATTGCAACAATGACATGTACAAGTCGTTATGTCAAAAAAACTTACAACTTTGGGTGGGGAGAAGGAGATGGGAAGGGATGGGAAGGGGAAACAAAGGAGGAGGCAACAATGCTTGATAAGAAATGTACTCATTATCTTGCCCATGTAATTGTAACCCCTCTGTACAGTATTTTCACAAAAAAAAAAAAGTGCATGAGGAGAGTGCCGATTAGTCATCTGGCCAGCAGGGAACACTATCAGTAAGACTGCCATGTTAGGATGTAAAAATTATATATATATCATATATATTCATACTTAAATATTTTTGTCTAGAAATTATAGTATAATGAACTAAATAAATGTCTATATTTTGTGTAAATACATTTATGGTTTTGTTTGCTATTCTATATATCATATCTCTTTGAAATGATTTTATGTACTGTTTGGGCTGTTGTGCTGAAATGATTTTATGTACTGTTTGGGCTGTTGTGCTTTTTTTCCTGATCATTGAATAATCCACTTTCTACTTTCTTTTACAATCCTATAAATTTATAAATCTTGTATATTTTCATATAGACATAAGGGAACAGTTTTGTTTATAAGTCTATAGTAAGCTTTTATATTATTGATACTATGAAAGGCATTTGTCCCATACATTTTCTTGCTGCTAGTTTCCAGCTATTGACTTATATATTTATTGGGGGGTTTTTTTGTTTGTTTTTTGTTTGTTTTTTGGTCAGTTGTGGGGCCTGAACTCTGGGCTTGGGCACTGTCCCTCAGCTCTTCAGCTCAAGACTAGAGCTCTACCACTTGAGCCACAGCGCCACTTCCAGCTTTTTCTGCTTATGTGGTGCTGAGGAATCGAACCCAGGGCCTCATGTATGCAAGGCAAGCACTCTACCACTGAGCCACCTTGCTATCCCAATATATATTTAGTTTTTAACTTTATACCTTTCTGAATTCTAATACTAATAAATACTATTATCTTAGTCTCGACTCTTGCTTACGCTAAAGATATAATCCTCCACTCTTTGGATGAGATACTTTTATTTCCTTTCAATGATAATACCACAGCTCTCTGTCTTATAGTTTGAAATGCCTGGAATAATTAAGGAAATAAGTGAAAGAATTTCTATAACAGTGTTTATCAGAGTTTTCGTGAAATGATCAGTTAAAAAAGATGAAGACAAGCCGGGCGCTGGTGGCTCATGCCTGTAATCCTAGCTACTCAGGAAGCTGAGATCTGAG